AAAGAAAGAAAAGAAAAAAAAAGAGTCCAAGTTTGGATCTGTGGGGGCAGCCTAAGTTCCAGCATGTGGCACACATGTGTAGCTGGTGTTCCCGAGGTGATGACTGTCACATCCGCACCGGCCAGAGTGTTAGAGCAGATTGGATTGGAGTGTCCTTCCTCACTGAGAACATTAGCATCTGCCCCAGAGCACAGGAAGGACCAATGCAACCCACAGAATCACGTGAAAGAAGAGAATAGATATTGTCTTCAGCTACTAAACTCTGGGGCATTCTTTCCTCAGCAAGTGCTAGCTGTTGCACATACGTGTGGCATCTCCCAAAGGCATAGCGTTGCACGCCATCAGCTACAGTCCAGGTGTGGGGCGTTGCCAGTCTACAGTAGCACTGCGTTTGTGTGGAGATCTACATTTGTCAACAGGTTCGTCATCACGGACTCCTGTTGGCATAACCAGTGGTCAGGAGGGAATTACCGCTATTGATATGAGGGATGAGACTGATGAGCCCCAGCATCACGAGGGGCCCCACCCAAAGCAGCCTCCTCCAACCCCTAATGGAATGGCTTTCCCCGGGACCACCGTGCATCTCTCAAACATTTTTAACCTACTGTAAAAGTCTGATGACTGATTTTTTTTCTGTGATATTTCAGCTGCAACTTGAGTTCCTTCCCTCCTTGGACCAGGAATTCCTCCCAGGTGCTGTCTGTTAACCTCTTCGGCAACCCTCTCACTTGCAACTGTGAGTTGTCCTGGCTCCTCCTGGATGCGAAGAGAACTGTCCTGCGCAGGTAACGTTGACAAAGCGGACGGCTGAGGGGTGAGGTTCAGCCTTCAGGAGCTGGAGTTGTCATGACCATGCTGGACATTTGGACAGTGTTGGGCAGGGCAGCCCTCCCCCATATGGTCCCATCCGGGTGGGCGACAAGGCGCCATCCCCATCCCAGCCAGCCTGAAGGGGCAAAGAACAAGGAGGAGCTGATTTGGGAGCATTTAAGTAGGGTAGGTCCAGGGGTGGTTCTCGCTTCTCCTCACTTTCATTGGCCAGGAGTCAGTAGACAGGCCCAACTGCAGAGGATGCTGGGAAATGTAGTCTAGCTGAGCGCCCAGTGGGGGAAAAAGAAGTGGGTTAAGTGAGCAACTAACCCCGCCTCTGCCAGAGCAAGTGTATCATTGCCACATTTTACAGGCAAGGGGAACAGGGCTAATACAGATGAGACATTTGATTAAATCCATGCAGCTGCTGGATGGAGAAGGTAAGATCCGTCTTCTCCCCAAACTGTGCTCTTAACCTCTGGCCCTGCTGAACACCCAAGATGGAGCCTGGCTTCCTCTCCTGGGTCATTCAGCCCGAAGCCAGTGGACTTATGAAGCTCTCTCCTGGCCAGGACAAAAAGAATTCTTGTGAAGGCTGTTGGCTGGAAGAGCTATTCTTGCGGTGGGGAAGCCACACCCAGGCTGGCCCCAGAAGATGGGTGCTGGGGAGCCAAGGGCATCCCGGTCCTGAGCACCCTCAGATCAGCCCCACCAGTGAACTGCTCCTGTTAGGGAGACGAGCCAGACATCCTGATTCTCTTCTCAGCTCCCATCCACACTCGGCTGTGACGTGCAGTCCTCTGCACCTCTTCTCCCACTTTGCTTCTGAACACGAACACCCCCGTCTCTTCACAGTCAGGGTCTCGCGATCGTATTAAGGAAGAGGTTGAGGGTGCAGGCTGGAGCCAGAGAGTCTGGCTTCATCATACCACTGACAATGCGGCAGAGTTAAAGTCTGCCTTTCGCACCTCATCTGTAAAATGCAGATAAAAGCACCTACCTTATAAGCAGTGAATGAGTTGCTAAAGTGTGAAGAATAGTGCTTAGCATATGGCGAGCGCCCAGGCGTGTTAGCTTTTAAGTGTGTGCTCGTGAGCACCGTCAGGAAGGAGACGGCGAGAACAAGGCGAGGGGCTTTGCTTGGAGGTTCTGGGCACCCTCTCGCTGTGCTCACCCAGGTCTGGGTTCAGGCTCTGCTGTTTGCTGGCCAGGGTCTTCTGGGCAGTCACTTCCTCTTTCTAAACTTGTCTCCTTTTCTGCCCAATGGGAGCGATGCCAGGTCCCCCCTCCAAATGTGGTATGTGTGGGCTGCGTACCAGGTGGTGCCTGGCTGAGACGGGATCTGAGGACTGCCCAGCCCAGAGAGGCCCTGACGCAGACGTCTTCTAACTGGCCGGCTTCCCCTCCAGGGTGGCGGACACGATGTGCACACCAGCTGCAGGACCCGCGGGCCCTTTCTCAGCAGCTCTTCCCCTCTCCCAGCTGCCGGATGTGTGCAGGTCGGGCCACAGCACCACCCTCCCGGATTCAAACCCATCCTCTTTTGCTGGCTTGGCTTCTGCACCACCTTCACCAGGACTCTCTGCTCAACCTGCGAGAGGCCAGCCGAGTGTCACCAAAGCCTCACCCTCCACCGCGCTGTCCCTCACACAGGCTTCGTGGACACCCCATGGCACCTTGGGGGGCACTGTCCCCTCCAGTGCCCACCCTACAACAGCAAGCCTCAGGCCAACCAGCACTGCACCCAGGACTGCCAGCGGGACAGGGCACCAAGAACACGCTGCCAGTCTGGTCCCGAAGCCCAGGGTCTCAGCTGCCACCACCTCGCTCGCCACCAAACACCTTAGCCCCATCCCTACTGCAGGGAGCACCATGAGTAGGACTCAGCCTGACCAGAGGACACAGCCAGCGCCCCAGGCCCCCCACTCCAGTCCTTCTGATGATGAGATTCCCGTCATCCTACTGGATGACAGTGAGGAGGGGACCGAAGAGGAGGGGTCCAAAGTGGTGAGAGCGTCCCACCACAGCATCCCCTGCGATTACGACCCGTGCAGGCACCTGCAGACCCCCTGTGTGGAGCTGCAGAGGCGCTCACGCTGCACCTGCCCTGGCCTCACCAGGGAGGACACTGTCCCCGACCTGCCCCAGCTACAGGGGGTGTCGGAGGTGACTGACACGTCGCTGCTCGTCCACTGGTGCGCCCCCTACTCAGTCGTGCGCACCTACCAGATCCACTACTCCGTGGAGGGCGAAGCGGGGAACCAGTCGGTGGTGGGTGACATCTATGCCACCGCCCGGCAGCACCCTCTGTACAGGCTGTCACCGGGCACCACCTACCGCGTGTGCGTGGTGGCGGCCAACGCCGCAGGCCTGAGCCAGCCTCGGTCCAGGGGCTGGAAGAGGCCGTGCACCACCATTACCACCAAGCCCAGCCTGGTGGCCGTCCTGGTGGTGCTGGGCACCGCCTGTGGCCTGCTGCTCATCAGCACCCTGGTGCTGTTTGTGTGCCTCTGCAGGCGAGGCCGGAAGCTATGCGGGCACAACCATGACCAGTACCTGGTGGCCTTCAGGAACCCATACCTGCTACCCTTCGAAAACCCGGGCCAAGACTGCAGGCAGAGCAAAGTGACGGGGCTCTGCCCAGAGGCACACCAAGCCCCGGGCTCCACCCCCAGCACCACACACACACCCGAGGCCTCAGTGAAGCTGCAGACCTTCACCTAGCCACTGCCTTCTTCCACCGAGCTGATCTCTGTCCAGAAGGACCACAGCCAAACGGCCCCGTCTGCTCCAGTCTCATGAGGCCGCCACGCCTCGGGCACGCACTGTCTCTGTCCAAGGACCAGTGCTTTCCCTTCTCTGCTGTCCCTGATGGTCAATGCCAGGCCGCGCCCACTGGCACCCAGCAGCCTCTCCCGTGCTCGTTGGGGGTTCTCAGCAGTCAGGGCCCCTCAGAATCCAGCAGAGCAGAGCACAGAAGCAGGAAGAGAGAAATCGCACCGCCTGGCCTTTTCTGCCATACTGGAAACAGCATCCTTAGGTCTTTTCAGAGCACGATCACTTGTGGCTGAGGTCAGGTCAAAGCATGAAAAGACATTTTGTTCAAGGAATCAGCCCCTGCAACCTGGCAGGCAGGGGACAGCGCTGCCACCGCCAGGGGCTTCCCGAGGGAGGCCTTCCGGGTCTGTGAGTGGCATTTCATGACTGAGCAAATATGCTTCGGGCCTCGCAGGGAAAACTGGTCTTTCAGGAAGACCTGTGCGATGCTGCATTTCACCCAAGACTGAATAGCCAGAAGTAGTACGAATTCCTTTTCTTAGGAAGCACAATAAGCTCACTTTCAGGACTTTTTCTTTTTTTGTTTTTTGTTTGTCTTTTTGAGACAGGGTCTTGATGTGCAGCTCAGGCTGGCCTTGAGTTCATTTTGTAGCCCAGGCTGGTCTTGAACTCAGTGATCCTCCTGCCTCAGCCTCCTGAGTGCTAGGATTACAAGTGTGAGCCATGAGTGAAAGAAGAAATGAGTGAAAGAAGAAATGAGTGAAAGCCTTCCAGGTTCTGACTGGAAGCCAAAGCAGCGCAATGCTCCCAATTTACCAGTGCTTTAGTGGTTTTTCATGTTGATCTGAACAGGGAAAAAGTGATCCTGTGAAATTATACTTGGGACCCAGTTTCTAGATTTTAATTTTTTATGTTAGTATTTGTTAGTCTGTTGTGGTTTATTTGTTTTTTGTTTTTTTTGAGACAGGGTCTTGCTGTGCAGTTCAGGTTGGCCTTGAGCTTACTTTGTGGCCCAGGCTGGTCTCGAACTAACAGTGATCCTCCTGCCTCAGCCTCCCGAGTGCTGGGATTACAGCCGTGCGCCACCACGCCCAGCCAGTCTGCTGTGGTTTAAAACAACAGAAATTTACTGTGATACAGTTCGGGCCAGAGATCCAGAAGTAAACTACAGAATGATGGGGGCTGGTTCCTCCGGGAGGATAGGAAAACTGTGTTATGATTTCCCAGCTTTCCTTGGTGCTCCCTGGTTTACAGACTTTAAGCTAATCTACACCCGCTGTCACCCCAAGGCATTCTGTCTCCACATCCAGATCCGGCCTCCTCCCACCGTATTTAAAAAAAATAAAGGCAATAAAAGCACAGGTCAGTAAGTGTGACCTCACCCTGACTCTGCAAAGACCCTATTTCCAAAACAGGTCACATTCACAGGTCCTGGAGGTCAGAAGACTGGAGCTCATCTCTGGGAGACAAAATTTAACTCACAGTAGACTTATTTCTGCTGTAGAAAATGTCGAGCTTGAACCCCACGTATCTTTTGTTTCCAAACCACGCTGCAGTCTGAGTACTGGGTCCAAATTTCACCCAACCAAAAAGTTGTCACAGGCTCCTCGAGGATAAAGAACTCAACCCACCCCTTTAAAGTAAGTGCAGGCTTGCCGACTCCCCTCAGGGAAAAGGAATTTTTCAGGATGAGTCAGTGAAAAGGCAGGAGGGGGATTTATTAGAGGAAGATAGGACACACTCAAGAGCAGCATGTGGGTGCTCCAGGCGGGAGGCGCGAGTTCTAAGCCAGGCCAGGGCTCACGTTTAAGGGCTATTAGCAATCGGGGTGATCTCGGATGTGTACTGTCACTGTCTGCCAGGTCACAGTGCTAGTCATCCTGTGGGCTGGAGGTGGAGGTAGCGCCAGGCTGTCTCTCCCGCAGTTGATTTTGGGCTGGAGGAAGCGGAAGGAAAGGGAATTTGCAGGCGAAAGGGAAGGGGCGGACCTGTGCCGAGTGCATTGGGGAGTGGCCACGTTTGCTGTTTTGGAAGGGGAAAACCCACCACCAACCTGGCTCATGTTGTGAAGCTGAAGTTTCTTTTGAAAAGTACAATTTTAAATTCTCGATTCCTTGGTGTCCTTTCTACCTGGTTTTATTTCTTCTATCCTACCTCAACACTATTATTTCCAGGTGTTTAAAGTTTGGAACGCGCTTGTGAAAATTCTAAGGTGTACCCCTATTATCACATAACCAAGAGGGTTGGACTGATGCAAAATGGCCTAAAAGTTGGAGCACAGAAGCCAAAATCCGCGATGAATTAAGTGGAAAGCCCTCACACATGTAATTGAGCCCAACATCTGTAGTCCTGGTAAAAGGGGTCTATTTTGTGGAGACACTGAATTCAATGTCATGTCTTAGGTCTATACTGCATGAACGTAACAACTGAACATGCCTAATTTAATACAACCCCAGTGTATTTTATAAACTGGCAGAATCTGTTTTATAACAATTCACTATCCAAAAATCTGGGGAGAGCTTATCCCCAGCACCACCAAAAGTAAGTTAAAACAACAACAAAAAAAGAGAAGACTTGGATCCTTTTTCTAAGGGTTGAGGTGAAAAAAATACATAGGCTAGCCAGGTGTGGCGGCGCATGCCTGCAATCCCAGCACCCTGGGAGGCTAAGGCAGGACGATCACAAGTTTGAGCTCAGGCTGGGCAACTCAGAGACTCTGTCTCAAAATAAGATATGAAGGGCTGTGGATGGTTAAGTGCGAAGGCCTTGGGTTCAATTCCCAGGACCAAAAACAAAAAGGTGGACAGGCCACAGCTAGGGTGGCCTGGACCTCCATACTAAAGAATCTGTGGGTCTAACCCGTAAGTCACTCCAAATAGCATCAACAATAGGCCATAAATAAACAATATAATTTGTAATTTTTTTTCCATAACTATTTCAAGTCTTCCTTTTAAAAAAAAAACATTTTTGTAATGCTGTGCGTGCTGGCACAAGCCTGTCAACCCCAGTACTGGGGAGGCTGAGGCAGGATTTTGTTTTTTTTGTTTTGTTTTTGTTTTTTTTTGGTACTGGGACTCGAACTCATGACCTCGTGCTTGCCAGGCAGGCACTTGCGCCACTGAGTTATATCCCTGGCCGTCAGGAGGACTGTTGAGTTCAAGGCCAGCCTGAACTGCATAGTGAGACCTTGTCTCAAAAAAAAAAAAAAAAATCTGTGTGCTCATGCCCAGACCTCTTGGATGGTCCAGCAGTGGACTTCCACCTCCCACCTTAGCGCCTCCCGGCTGGGCCGAGATGGCAGATGAAGAAGTCAGCTGCTGACCCCCGTCTCCCCACTTCTCAGTGCAGTGCCAGGGCCAGTGCCCCAGGCTTCCACATGCTCCAGGCAGGGGCAGCTCAGCTGCCAGTCTAAGCCAGGAGCAGCAGACAAGAGGGCCCAACGACGGGCACAGTGCCCTCAGCAAGCGGCAGGCGGGTTCCTCACATCCCCCGCATGCGCAGCCCAGCCCCACAGGCTGTGACTGACAACCCCACGCCGCGAGTCCCGGTGGACAGCGGGCAGCCATCGGCCTCCAGCATCAGGAGGACCCAGCAGCGCCTACAGCCTCCCTTCCCACCGCATGTCCTCCCTTCTCCTACGCCCAACGCCACCACAGTAGGTCTGTAAGTCAGACGGTCCCAAACCAACTACTTCCACAGCGCAGGTGCAGGGGCCACAGCTGCACAGACCTCCTGAGCCAAGCCACTCTCAGCAGAGGACCGAGGGTGCACACAGAAACCCAGGCTGAAGCTGCATGTGTTTTTCCAGCAGTTTTATTTCTTTAACATCTTAACAAAAGATCTCCAAAGTTTAAAAAACTTTTGAAAAATACACAGTTTCATATTATTTACAGAACGTATGTGTACAGCTTCCAGTATCACGGAAACGCTGCTGGGTCGGAAACGCAGGGACTGTGGGAGTTAGCACAGGCCCACGGCCGCTCCTCTCACTTCCGCCCCCCGCCACCTCGGGTGTGGGACTGTTAGGCACCCGAGAGGCTGGACGCGATTTCAATACCTCTGTCCGGGTTATCTTACTCATTTTCCAACTTCTTACGTTTTCAGTGTCTTTACTTCACCCACAGCTAAGCTAACTTTGTTCCCATTATTCTACATGACCAAGTAGTAACCACACAAACTGCTGCCGCACAGATTTAAAAATCACACAACCACCCGCGGCCACGCTGGGTAGGAGATGTGTAGGATGCCTACCTACTCCCAGGAAATTCGCTAGGGGCTTGTGAGCAATCTACAGTCTACTTAGGGGTGCCAACTCTTCGGTTTCCATGCTGGGCTGTTTTTAAAAAAATATAAAAAAGACTGAGAGTAATAATTAATTTCTTATAAATTAATCAAGAAATCTAAGATTAAAAATTCTAAATGACAGTTTTACTTGTATTTAAAAATACATTTGGAAATTCCGCGTAGGCCCGTGATCGAGCTTCTCTCCGGCGCACACTGCGCAGCGCCGACGGCACGGCTCGCTCTGGCGAGTCCCTCTGCGAGCGCAGCACCAGCACAGGGAAGCGCCTGTAGGTTTCCGCCGGCGCCGCCGCCACCGCCGACGTCTACCGCCTCCTTGCTAACGTGACAGGTGGCCTTCATCTGTCTTTTATCACCTGCACAGTTTTCCGACCGTAATGGTAATAACTGTAAGCTGATGCGGCTGTGGTGAAAGCTGTGAAACACCTTTGAAGGAAGGAAAGACCCAAGAATTCACTGTCCAATCTAGAAACCAGCGAGACGCATGTAAAAAATCTATTTAAAAAGCGAAACAGGTTGCATGATGTTTTAAGTCAAGCCCGATCCAGGCACAGGCGGGCTTGGGGAAGGTCCCTCCGTCGCGGGGACAGAGCTGACCTCCCCTCCGGAGCTGGGGCGGCTCACCTGGGTGGCAACCCCAGCCCCGCGGTTTCACTCTTGCCCCGCTCCTGCCTTCTCCCTCCGCCTCCTCCCACCACGCCCTCCTGCCTTGGAGCTGGCTGACCGTGGTCTGTAACCCTCACCTAAAGTTAAACTTCTGCTCCCTGAAGTTGCAGGTGTCCGATGTTCGGTCCAGGTGACGGGGAAAGTGACCACTACAGGCTGGGGGCATACGCTTTTAACTACAAAAATCTAAATATACAGCTTTTCTGTAAGACTGAAGGAAATTGGTGATATTAAACAAAATTTAGTTAACAAGTCCTAAAAACTAATGGCAATACTAGTAACTGCCATTTTTACCTAGACATTATTCTAGGCGTCTCAGGTTCTCATTTCATCCTCATCCACCTGCTGCACAGATGTGGGGCAGAGACCCGGTGACCACGCAGGGTAACAAGCGGCTCAGCTCGGCTCTGAGGCCATGTGCTTTCCTTTGTCCACGCTGCTCAGAAGATGGCATCCCATGTGCACAGCCTTTGAAGACTCAGGCTGAGTCGCTTTACATCCTTCCCAGCCCTTTACTGAACATTAGGTGTACTGCCTCAGGTGCCACTGCCAGCCAACGAGGGTCAGCAGCAGCGTCTGTTTATCCCAGACCTGCTCCTGCTGGCCTAGTACTCCAAATTCACACATGAACCTATGAATACAAGTGCAGGAAGTGCTGCTTCTTTCTCTCTCCTTCCTTCCTACCTTCCTTCCCTTCCTTTTCTTTTTTCCTTTCCTTTTTCTCCTCTCTTTCTTTCTTTCTTTTTGAGACAGGGTCTCAACTCTGTAGTTGAGACTGGCCTCAAACTCACAGAAATCCTCCTGCCACAGCCTCCCAAGTGCTAGGTTTAGAGGCTTGGGCTGCCACACCCACCAGGAAGTGCTATTTCTGAGTTATGTTGTTTATGAGGAAAGTCAACGAAGGCAAGCTGATTAAAAAAATACTGTCAAAATAAGTAGGTAAGACAACTGTGAAATGATTAAGGAAATACAGTGAAAGATAGTTCCTACACTCACTGCTCTGCAAATGTCTAAGGTTCCTGCAGCACCTTAAGCCAGCAAAAACTGAAAACCAGAAAGCTTGTCTTATGGATGTAATTTATTCAAGAGTGAAAAAATTCTCCCAGTGGACCTGTCAGCCAAGAAAAAGCCTTCATTCTGTATCAGAAAATAGATGAATTGCAGTGAAAATAACCATACAGAGACAGAGAGATGTATTTTAGATTAAAACAAAAAGTTCAGAGTATTGTCATTTAAAAAAATCCTTTGGCTTCACTGAGTTGGATTAACCAACCTCTTTCTAGACTGTATCAAGCACCAAGTTTCATTACAGTTATGTATGTACCAAACAAAATACAGTTCAAAACTAGCATGGCACATTTTGAACAGAGTTTGGTTGGAAGTAGCATACTGTTTTTTGGTTTTTTTGAGACAAGGTCTCACCATGTAGCCCAGGCTGGCCTCGAACTCATGGCCACCCCCCTGCCTCAGATTCCTGAGTGCTGGAATTATAGGTGTGCGGCCCCCCCATGTGGCATACTGTTAAGAGTATAAATAAGTACTTAGCGTACTAAAATAAGATTCTCGCTCCTCTTTCGCTCCCACTGCCCCCCTGAACTTGGCTGGTTTCCTCCTTCCCTACCACCAGCCTCCTACACCAACTGCTAAGGATCTGCCTTCACCTGGTGCCTCCTATACAAAGCTCACCCACCCCCATGGCTCCAGTGCTGCCTGCTTCCTGAAATTATCCCTCCTCTTCCTACCTGAAACCCAGACACACTAGCAGTACTCTTTCCCGTTCATCTCATGAAAGTGGACTTCTACACTTCACATTTGGTAGGAGGTGTCTGAAGAATGGGACCAGCAATCAGCCACAGCTTTGTCCTCCAAGTGTACATGAAACACTTGACTGTCACAGAGCACCACTGTTCTGATACTCTCCAAGAGTAACCCTAAACTTAGCTTACCACAGTATCTGAAGATAAATGCTGTCAGCATAATTGAAAACTGGAGCTGCCAAAGAAGCTGCTACCAAGATTAACTGGACCGCTGTGTTCACCTTTAAAGAAAGAAGAAATTATAAATGGATAGTGCCAACTGGATCCTATTCAAAGCTCTCAGACAAAAGCACAGCCCACCCCAACACACGGGGCACACCTGGTGCAGACGTGCAGCACCGACGCTGGAGAAGCCGCGTACATAGGGGGACGGGGAACGCTTGACAAGGTTTCCCCTCACTGTCCCGTCTCCACAGCTGCCCTCCAGCAAGGATAATGACAACAGGAAACACACACATGACCACTACTATGAACTACCGCGAATAATTCAAAAATGCAGCACCCCCGCCCCAACACTTGGTTGTGTAGGGGGCTGAACCTAAGGCCTTGCACTTTCAGGGAAGAGCTCTACTGCTGAGCTACAAGCCAGGCCCCTTTCCATTTTACATTGAGAGAGCGTCTTGCTAAGTTGCCCAGGTTGGCCTCAACCGTACTATCGTCCTGCTTCAGCCTCCTGGGTGGCTGGGGTTATAGGGGTGCACCATCTATCTGGCTTCTTCCCCGTTTGTCCATTGGGCCACTAAAGCCGCCCTATGAATATGGAAGTACTCAAGCTGCCTCTTTCTAGGTGAGATGATGTAGGCAACCTGCCTGCAGTCACAGCAGACTCCAGAACCAAACCTACAACCCCACTCCCTGTGCCCTTCCCTGGAGGCTGCCACGCCCTGTGAGGCCAGATCACTGAAGTGCATTCCTCTCCACAGAAGAGCCTGGGGCAACGTGGGGGTCTCCCTACCCTAAGAGACAGCACCAGGACACAGGCAAGCAGGACTAATGCAGCACTTGCGCCGGACAGGGAAGAGGAAACAGGGGCCCTGATGGGTGCAGAGCAGCACTGTGCTTCTATCGCCCAGGAGCACCCGAACGACAGGGATCCCACTTTGTTTTTGAAAGTGAATCACACAGCCGAGTGTGGTGGTACACGCTTGTAATCCCAGCACTGGGAGGCTGAGCCAGGGGCCAAGCTGGACTACACAGTGAGTGCAACACCAGCCTGAGCTACATAGTGAGACCCTGTATCAAAAAACCAAGAGAAGAGAAACCACTTGGAAGAGATCACTATGTAATACAACAAGCACTGTTAACTTCCTACCACTCTGTTTGTAACTCTGTATTGTTTGTATTGCTCTTTGGCTATTTTGTAAATGGTTGTCTGTTAATGTTTTTCTCCTTTTATTTTTAAAATAAAAAAAAAACCCAAAAAACCAAGAGAAAAGAAAGTAGAAAATAAATGACACAATTTACAAGACAAAGGTATGTCTGATGCATTTGCCTCTCCATAAACCACTTTTTCTAGTGCTATAAACTGCTGTACTTGACACAAATATAAGGCCCTGGAGGTCAAAAAAGCCCTAGGCATGGAGATGAAATCCACCCCCAGGAGTCTCCATATAGGGCTACGGCTGTTCTGTCCCTAAGACGATCAGGCCCCCCGACCTGCTAAATTTCTGTCACAAGGGACAAGACTCACAGACGACCCGAACAAACTTATCAAGACCACTGGAAAAAGACAAATACAGTGGTAGCTCGGCTCACGAATCAAATCAAACTTCCCCATACAGTCAACACCGAACCTGACGAATGAGTTTGATTCAGTTCAAATCATGGGAAAGAATCAAGCTCGTGAACCAAAGCACCAATGTATGTCTTGACAGGCGTTAACAGTACTTTTCCGTGTGTTCAAAAACTGACATACAGTTATCCTGAAAACGACTCCGGAAAACAGAAGCGCAGCAGCTGGCAGTAAGGAAACCCTTCGATCCCTTTCTACTGAGCATTCAATTTTAGAAGTGAAAGGCCTTGGATGTGATGTTTTCAGGCCAGGGCAGGACGCGGTAAAACCACAGACTCTTCCTAATCTCTGCACTTTAATCGGAAGTGATTACATCTCATCCTTCTTGAGGTGTTCCCCACTGTTACGGCTTTCAGGCTTCCTTCAGCCTGCAGGCCAACACCGGGAAATGCTGGCAGACAGGGCCGTTGAAGCTCGGAGGACCAAAGAATTTGGCTAAATTTATCCGCCCTACCCAACTCTTAATCCCCACTAGTCAATGCACTTAATTTGTTCATGTTCACAGTTGCTGCTGACTGAGGTTCACATTCATTACAATAAAAATTCACCAAGAACAACTTAAAAAGATAATGCGTGTCTCTTACCTTGCTGATGAACGTTGGTTTTAACCTAGCAGTAGCGTAGCAAGGATTGAAATACTTAGCTAGTGTTCTCTGGCAGAAGACAAAAAAAAGATGGTTTCAATTTATTGTTTAAATTTCAAACAAACATCTTGTTATTACATGTAAGTGACAGTTCCCAGTGTTCACTACACACCTGGCCTCATGCTAGCAAAGGTCTTTCCATGCATCTTATGATGTGAAGTAATACAATCTACAGTCTATATAAATCATAGGCAGGTTACTGAAAACTATTCTTTAAAATTTGTAGATTTTTTTGTGTCTATAGCTCAGTGGCACAAGCACCTGCCCGGTAAGCCCAAGGTCCTGAGTTCGATTCCCAGTACCAAAAAAAAAAAAAAAGTCCTATAAAATTCTAATGCAACAGCTATCATAAGGTTTCCTTGATCACACTTTTTTTTGTTTTACTTTTTTCCCCAACTCTTTTTAGAAAAAACGAATTCAGGTCCCAGTACAGTTTTTGCTTTTTTGAGACAGGGTCTTGTTACTGGTAGGTAGTCCAGCTTGCCCTTGAATTCCTGATGTGGCCCAGGCTAATCCCAGACTTGCAACTTTGCCTCTGTCTCCTGAGGGCTGGGATTACAGGTGTGTCCCACCATAGCTGGCAAATGCAAAACTCACTATTTCCTTGTACAGATTAAAAACAAAATGAAAAATACTGTTCTACTTTCAGTGGACTGGGAACAGAAAGTTTATTATGCAATGAAACCATGAAATACAAGCATATCATCCTGTGCTTATGCACTGTAACTTTAAAAACCAGTTATAAATAATCTGTAGTAGAGGCTAAATAAGACAACATGGTTAGGAGCTTTGTAAACACCATAACAGTGTGCTGCTAGGGGTCAGGCCTGTGGGGCTGCGTTTCATGCGTCATCCACTGAGAAGAATCAGGCTTAAAACAGAAACATGTGATCCCAGCACTCGGGAGGCTAAGCCAGCAGGATCGCTGTGAGTTTGAAGCCAGCTTGAACAATATAGCGAGACCCTGGCTCAAACAAACAAACAAACAAACAAACAAACAAACTTGTCTTAAATGATGACTCGTGTTCACTAAGTAACTGAGTGTAATTCACATAGGAGGACAGTTAACTTTTAAAAATTTTGGTAAATGAGCAAAAAAAAAACTGCCAGGAGTTATTCCCCAAAAGTAAAACAGTATACAACACACTAAATATTTGCTTTTTCTTAGCTGTACGTACTAAGGGTATGTTTTTGAAACAAACTCACCGGTGTTGGGAGAGTTCGATATCTGACATAAAAAACAGCAGCAATCAACATTACATCTCTTGAAATTATCATATAAGTAAGTGGAACTGAAAATCAAATAAAAAATAACGTTAATGAGAATTTTGAAAATTACTAACACACACTGACTACAAAAAGTCTCATGTAGGTTTACACAAACTGATGCGTCCCAGAAGTGAAAATCACATACTGACGATGTTTCGGGTCCTTATGGTGAACCACTGGTCTTTACGTTCTTTTTAATGGAAGTGAAGTGCTGGACCAGGGCTTTGGGGCCTAGGATTGCCTCCCAGAATACCAATCTTCTCACCTCTTTTACTCCTCTTTTTCCTGCACACATCTTACAATGTTTAGAAGCTATTATTGTAAGTAATACACTATCAGTCTGCAGATACTCATGTCTGCTCTACGCGGTCCCTTCCCGCTCCGTTTCTGTTACTCCTCAGCTTTGCAAATTTGGAAAAAAATCACCATGCTCATTAGGATCAAATGAGATGAAATGAGGGTTAAGAAAGGTGTTGGAGGGCTTGGGTTTTTCTGGAGTCTCAGGTGCTTTATTTGCTTCTGAATTTTAGGCTGTTTTCCGAAGAGTAAAATTTACTGTACATAGAACTTGTGGAGAAAGAGAAACATTTTCATTCGTATCCAGCAGGTTCCTACCCAGGCAACTATTGTTTCTCTCCCGGCCCAGGCAATCAATGAACCCAACTTGTCAACAGCCTGCTTATTACAGGTTGAATACTCCCGAACCAAAGTGCTTCGATAAGAAGTTTTCAAATGCGAGTTTTTTGATTTTGGAATATTTGCTCAGACTTTACCAGTTGAGCACCCCTAATCCAAAAATCCAGAATCCAAACTCCCAACTTTTTTTTTTTTTTTTAAGAGACAGGGTCTTGCCCTATAATTCAGGCTGGCCTTGAACTCACAGCAGTCCTCCTGTGTCAGCCTCTCAAGTGCTGGGATTATAGGTCTGTGCCACCATGCCCAGCTAAAATCCCAAGCTTTTAGAGCTCAGTGTCACTAGGGATGCTCAACCTACATTCATTCCTTAGACCTGCACACAGTCCTGCACCATAGCCAAAGGGCCTGCTCTCTGCAGAGCAGGAAGGGGCGTGGCAGGGACCTCTTCACTTTGACTTGGTGCTAGAGAAGCTTTATCCACGAACCTACACCTTTGTAAAAAAAAAAAAAAAAAAAAAAAAAAAACTTGTTTTTTTTGGGGGGGGAGTCTTTTTGAGACAGGGTCTCGCTATGCAGTTCAGGCTGGCCTTAAGTTCACTTTGTAGCCCGCGCTGGTCTCGAACTGAAATGCTCTTCCTGCCTCAGCCTTCCCAGTGCTGGGATTACAGGTGTGCATCACCACATCCAGCTTAAAAAAAAAAATTCTTAAAGGGAGGGGAAAATCCTCTGTTCAAACACCAATCGCTAAAACAAAAGGAGCATATCCATCCCTTTCATAATACTGTCACATAACTCTTCCACGAGTCACCTGAGGTATTTATCGTACTCTCTGCTGACAATACGTGGACTCTGCAGTGTGAATGTAAAGCTCACTCATTCAACTTCCGATCTCTGCCACCGCAGCTACTATGTAAGTGCTGACCCCTCACTGAGCCCTCTGCTTACGCACTTGAGTGACAGCATTTGGAGTTAAAAGACAGGACTGTATTAGCCAAGCTAGAAAACTGCATGCCATGATTTTTTTTTTTTTTTTTTTTTTTTTTTTTTTCTTCTGGTACCAGGAATTGAACTCACGACCTTGCACTTGCCAGGCAGGCGTTTTGCCGCTGAGCTAATTCCCCAGCCCCGCAAGCCATGATTTTCAAAAGCATTTTTTAACCTACAAAACAGACTTTTTAGCAATCATTAGCTGGTAAAGACTAACGGCAATCATACATTAAAAAGCAGTGAACTCATGCAAGTTACAGCCCGTGTACAGTAACCATGATGAAATATGGGATATGGTCTCTCTGCAGGAATGGAGACCTATGGGACTCAGACCAGGCCTGGGACAGTGCCCCGGGCCCCAGCACAGCCCTGTGCCCCAGTCTTTCGAATCTCTAGATTCGCTTTACCATCTGTATCCTGCAAGTGGATCACTTCATAATCAAACATTCAATTCACTAAGATACAATTTATATGCGCTTCATGGCACGACTCCAAGAGAAAAAGCAAATCAGCTGCAAAGAAAAATGGTGGAAATCCAGATACATGAGAACATTAACACAGTCTCCCCACAGCTGACAGCAGACCAAAAGGGTGAAAGTCATAAAGAAACAGAAGACACACAAGATTGAAAACTTGATTGACGGACACATACAGAACATCAGGGCCAACCACATTGTATGAGACACAAGCACCTGAGGAACAGCTGCAATGCTTACAAAATTCAGACTTCCTAGGCTGAAAGACTAAAATCACAGAGCATGTTCTTTCAACATATGGCTTGAAACCAGTAACAAAAAGATATCTAGGAAATCCCCACAAACTGACAACAAATTAAGAAATGGTCTCTCTTCCTCTCTCTCCAGCACTGAGGACTGCACTTGGGACACTGCACTGAGCTACATCCCCAAGCGTCCTACTTTTATTATTCTATTCTATTCACTATGGTCTAGTCAGTTTAGTCTAGTCTAGTCTACTCTATTTTTAGACAGTATCTTGCCAAGTCAGTATGTCACCCAGGTTATGCTTGAACTTTTGATCCTCCTGCCTCAGGCTCCCACACTGCTGGGATTATAGGCATGTACCATTTCAGCTAGCTCATTATTATTATTATTATTTTGTAGTGTTGTTGATCAAATCCAGGGCCTTCAGCTGGGAAGCTCTCTTCCAATGAGTTACTCTCCCAGCAAAAGAAGTACTTATTATTATAACCAGATACATTAAAAAAAACCCATAATGGGTTAGAGAAATATACTGGACAACTGACAAAAGCACTAATATCAACATACAGGGTGAGGGAGGCTGAGCTCAGAGGACACAAACAGGCACCCATGCAAACCTTAGAAAACTGAAAGGCAGTGAATGAGCGAAGTACAGCACCAGCACACCTGCAGCATCACAGGAGCCACATGCACCTAACACGCAGCCAGTAGAACTGAGAGGTGCAGCAAGTGCCAAATAAACACTGCCATTCAAAGCCTGTGTATTTCTTACTCTTAATTACACAGGTGGCTATTTTATTTCCACTACTCAAAACTGATCTAAAGAATTCCCAGCCGTATGCAGTGGCACAGGCCTCTAATCCCAGCCACTTGGGAGGCTGAGGCAGAAGGATCACGTTCAAGGCTAGCCTGGACTATATAGTGAGGCTGTCCCAAAAAACCTAAAGGGCTAGGGACATAAAGGGTAGAGCACCCTAGATTCAATCTCCAGTAAAACACACACACACACACACACACACACACACACACACACACACACACAGAGCAAAGAAAGAAAGAAAGTTAATAAATTATAAACAATATGATGCCATTTTTCTGTAATGCAGATGAAATGGTCAAATTCCTAAAATAAATCACAAGTTACTAAATGGTCAAAAGAACCTGAACCTGAGTCATCCTGTAACAAAGAAAAATGAATCAACTATTTCAAAATTCTCCCCTAAAGAAAACCACAGGCCTCAATGACTTCAACAAATTCTATCAAAATGGAAAATCACTACAATCTCAAACACCTCCCAAGAACGGAAGAATAAACAAAATCCCCAGCAGCCCAAGCCTAACTTGTTTTATGAGGGTAATTTTAACTTGCACAAGGGGGTGGGGCAGCACCCAGTGGCCTTGCCCCAGTAAATGTGTCCTACGTGCTGGGATGCCACGATGCTTGGAAAATCCTGGGGCATAAGACTATCATAAATTTGATACTAACCCCTAGCAAGAATATTTGGTGAATTACAGGTCAATCTCATGAATCTGGATATAAAATTTTCCACAACATACAATCAAACCAATTCTAGCAATATCTTTTTTTTTTTTTTCTGTCTTTTTGAGACAAGGTCTCGCCATGCAGTTCAGGCTGACCTTGAGCTCACTTTGTAGCCTAGGCTGGTCTTGAACTCACGATCCTCCTGGCTCAGCCTCTTGAGTTTTTTCCAGTACTGGGAATCAAACTCATGACCTTGCGCTTGCCAGGCAGGCACTGTGCCACTGAGCTAAATCCCCAGCCCCCTTAGCAATATCTTTATAATGCATCATGGCCAGTTTGATTTATACCAGGAATGCAGGTTATTTTAAAACCAGAAAATCAATTAATGTAAAAAAAAAAAAAGAAAGAAAGAAAATATCAATAATGCAATTCACTACACATTAATAGCTGAAAGGGAAGAATGACTTATCCATGATAACATTCAAACAGTATTCAATATCCAATTGTAAAAATACCAGATAAGAGGGATGGAGGAGGGAAGGAGGGAGAGAAGATAAAGGGACCTTAATACCTGGCAGCTCCTCATGAGGAATGTAGTCGTTACATACTGCAAACGTACTAAAAAAAATAAAAAGCCTCTGAACCAACTCCCAACTGAAGAGACTTAACCTGAAGAAAGGAATTCTACAAAACCCCTCTATAATGCTGAGAATGGTGGCACATGTCTGTCATCCTAGCACTTGGGAGGCCGAGGCAGGAGAGGCCAGCCTGAGTTATATAGTGAGTTCAAGGCCAGCTCAAACTATACAGTAGGACCCTGTCTCAAAAACAAAAACAAAAAAAACCCTACAGGAATTATCTTAAATAACAGTGAAAGGTTAAAAGCTTTCTCTATGAGACTGGGAAGAAGACAGAGACCACTTCGCAATAACTGTATCATACAGTGCAACACAGTAATATAAGAGAAGGTAAAAGGATCGGAAAAGAAGAATAGTATAGTGCATAACAGGATGCAGGAAATCCAACAGAATTTGTACTAGAGTAAGTTCTGCTAGCTATGTAAGTCAACTTTAGAAAGAGGACATCATTACAAAATAAATTTTTAAAACTACCAATTATAGGAGTATAAATACTATGAAGTACATAGGAATAAATCTGTCAAAAAAAGTATTACCTCTCCAGAGAAAACTATATAACTCTGAGACATAAAGACCTGTGCTTTGGAAGGCTTATTACTGAAAAAAGTTAATTCTTCTAAATAAATCTATAAATTCATGCAATTCCAATAAAAACCACACACATACACACACACACACATACCCCACACGCAAACATGTCTTTTTTTACAGTGATATTAAGACTTTTAGCAAAGCAACGCTAAAAGTGGTTGTTGGTACAATGGCAAATGGTGTGTATGGCGGGGAGACTTGAACATTCCAGGGAATCTGGAAAAGGAGTATTTTAAAATAGAAAGTGCTGGAATAATCAGGTATCCATGTAAGCAGCTAGCAAGTAGTTTTTTAGACAGATGTAAAGAAATAAAAACTAAGAAAAGAAGTCCCTAGAGATTTCCAGTACAAAACACAATCACATAGAAGTATCAGAACTGCATGAAACTTCTTTACAGGGTGATGGAATCTGGATGGTTGTAGAAGAGAATCTTCAAAACTCTGAGGGAAAATGATCTACAGTTGAAAAATTACACCAGGCTCACTGCCCATCACGTATGGAGAATAGAATAATGATGTTTCACTGTGTTTTTGTTTTTTGTGGTGCTGGGGTTCCAGCTCAGGGCCCTGGGCACGCTAAGCAAGTGTTTTACCACTGAGCCACACCCCCGGCCATAAGACATCTCAGATGTTCGAGACTCCAACAGATTTGCCGCCACACTGCACCCTTTTAAAGAAAACTGGGGAAAGCCAACACCAAAAAAGCCCAGGAGGACCAGTTAGTGGAGAGGAACACATGGGAGCCCGGAAAGAGATCAAACACAGAGGGCAGTGAAGGAAAAGTCCAACCTGGAAAGCAACTACAATACCGGAAACCTGAAATGACCTGGCTAATCTGATAAAGCAACGCAACGAACACAATGTAACTCTACCAAATAAATGAGAAGCATGACCACACACACACACACACACACACACACACACACACACACACACACGAAAAAATACGCATTTTGATTGTCAAAAGAATGTTCCTCAGGTTTTCTCTAAAAATCATTTGTAAACACTAGAATGAAAGAATCAGCCCCTAATCATACATACACCCCAATTCCCTTTCAGATCAACACATAAAATTTATTTTAGCCGGGCGTGGTGGCACATGCCTGTAATCCCAGCACTCGGGAGGGTTGTTTCAAGTTCGAGAACAACCTGGGCTACAATGTGAGCTTGACAGCCTTCAACTGTATAGTGAGACCCTGTCTCAAAAGACAAAAATACATAAATAAAAAATAAAATTTAGTTTAAAGTTTGGTTTGAAAATTCATGAGGACAAAAGGTAGGAGAAAAAGAACCGCAAGCCTGAAGGGACTATACTAGGCTGACACAGCCCTGAGTTCCTCCCTACCAAATGCCAACAGTGACACCCATGGGCCACAAGGCACTTCCTGGCTTCTCAGATCCCTCTTCTAACCTTTTTTTTCCCAGTACTAGGGGGTTGAACCCCTGGCTAAGCACCTGCTCCACCACTGAGCTACATCCCCAGTCCTTTTTTTTTTTTTTTTGGTTTTTCTCTGGTACCGGGAACCGAACTCACGACCTTGCGCTTGCCAGGTAGGCGCTTTGCCACTGAGCTAAATCCCCAGCGCCCCCCCGTCCTTTTTATATTTTGTTTTGAGACAGAATCTCACTAGGCTGTCCAGGATAGTCTAGAACTTGCGATGCTCCTGCCTCAGACTCCCAAGTAGCTAAGATTAAGGAGGGTGCAGCACCACTGCTGGCATGTTCTCTACACTCTTGTAGGAAAGTTATTTAATTTTTTAAGGAGAAAAAGTGATTGAGAAACACAACTGAAGCAGAAAATGAACACCAGTAAAACACATGCAGGACACAAACCAAAATATCCTAAAATGTTGTTAGAAGATATATATAAACTACACACATGATTTGAAAATTGTGCAATAGTATAGTAATAATGATGAGAAATTTTACAGATGCCTTCATGATTTCAGTTTTCACTATGATTAAACTGTATTTAATAAAGATAAGCAGAGAGTTAAGTTAAACTACAGTATTTTCAAAAAGCTTTGCCCTAAAAATCATATAAATAGCACCAAAAGATTGTAGAGTAATATGAATTGGCACTGTGAAATATTTTAGTTTTAAACAATCTTACTCAGAAAACTGCTTCTACAAGTTGTGACAAGGACATAAACTTTTGAAATAACCAACTAGTTCAACAGTTTAAAATTAGAAAAACAGTTCAAAGTCTAAAAATGTTTCAGGAACAGAAATTACGTCTCTCAAGAGAAATCCTAAGCTGACCGATGTCAGTGTCCCTATGCTATTCAAAAAGCACGCATGGTGACGTTCTTACCTGGAATAAGATCTGCATAGGTCAAGCTAACATATAACACACTGATAAGTATTTTATCAGCAAGTGGATCAAGAGCACTTCCCAAAGCTGATTTTTGATTGGCCCAGTTTCGAGCAATAAATCCATCCAACTGAAAATAGAAGTGTTTTTTAATAAATGTCATGATAGGAACAAAGCAGGTATCTTGATGCTTACGAGACATAAGGGTAACTACATTTATAAAATGCTCTGTTTCTTACCCCCGTTCTCATTCCTTTGGGATGCATTTAGCTTCTAAATTAGCAACTGTTCACAAAATAGCTTCACATTACTTTTTCTTTTTCCCCAAGGCCTTCCATTCTTTTCTCACCCTTTTCCCCGTGTCCCTTATGCAAAGAACCCAAACACAAGTTCAGATGTAAGGAACCCATAAAAGCCCAGAGAGCATGACTGACAGGGCCCCGGCCTGCTCTCACTACAGCCAGGACAGCTGCTTTTACTCACACGGGTGACTGCACTGGGACAGCCCAACTTCTATTACCTCCTGCCTACATTTCCAGTAAATGACCCAGGTACCTATATGGCTCTGTGGTTTGTTAATTGAAAAACTTACTTTCCTCAGTACCACTATTCATTCTATGTTCTAACTGTATCTGCATTACCTGTGTTCGGATGAAAAACTCAATTCTCTGCACCTGCCCTACTTAAAATGTTACTAATTACTTGTTTTTATTTCTTATTATTGAACAAATTGTACTTAAAAGCAGAGGTTGCAACTGGCTGCCAATGGCCAAAGGAGCCTGCAGCCTGGTTTTATTTGGTCTGCCAGAACTTGTAAAAATAATAACTGGTTGCCAACATTTATGTATTCACAATCGTGCCATAAAAATCCAGATCTAACACCAACCAAAAGGGAAAGATGTGATCACCCCAGGGACACAAAAACGATGGAACCCCACAACTACCTCTTCCCACCCAACTGCGAACAAGTCTGGCTTATCGCAGTCCTCCTACCCGGCTTTCATTCGTTTTGTTTAACTTGATGCTTCAACAAATGTCTGCATTTTCTATTCCCATTTCTAAGGAAAAGGATGACAACTGAGATGTATCTTACACATGGTCTTTTTACAGGCCAAGGCCTCTAGTTCTCCAGTTTTCCAATGCATTAAAGGAAGCAACAGCAGCACAGGCCAGGGGTTAAGAGCTTGGGACTCCAGCAGCACAGAACCGGTTCAAGTCCTGCTCTGTCACTTACTAGCTCTGCAACACTGGGCAAATTCTTTGGCCTCTTGCAGCCAGAGTTTCCTCATACTGATGCAATTGGAAGACTATTTCTCTCTCTCTCTCTCTCTCTCTCTTTCTCTCTCTCTCTTTCATTTTTTAAGAAAGGGTCTCACTATGTAGTTCAGGTTGGCTCTAAACTCATGGCAATCCACCTGTCTCAGCCTCCCAGGTGTTGGGACTAAAAGCGTGTGCCACCACATGTTGCTCTATTTTCTTAAGGAGAATAGACGAGACGCTGTTTAACAGAAAGTGCCTAGAATGGGCAGCCCAGGACTTGGAAGGCCCAGCTTTCAGTTCAGTTTCGGTGTCAGGGAATATAACCCCCTCCTTTCACCCATCACTGCCCTCTGCCCTCACTGCTCCCGGAACTCACATGGGATTCCAAGGTGTCCATGTGGCCACGCTGCAGACACTCACTGTGCACACCCGACTCCCTCTCCTCCCTTTGCACCTGCACAGCCCGACTCTCCTGCACGCCAGGCCCGTCACAAACTGCACGAATGGCTGACTGGGCTCACGTCATACCCACGACCACGAATCTCCCGTGGGCACTCAGTACCCCTGGCAGCCCGATGCCAGCCGCTCTTCTCACTCCTGCCTCATTCCTCCCACCCCCACTCATTCTAGCCCAAGACCAAAGCTGTCTTATCCTCCAGGGGGAAGGAAGATCATCAGCACTTCCTGCATCGTCACCGGCCAGCGGTGCTCCGCTGGTCTTCCTGCCACCCTCACCTGCGTGTCTGCCTCCTCCATTTCTCCTGCACCTGCACTCTCTCTCCTTTCCCACCCTTTATTAATCAGCTACCAAAAAAAAAAAAAAAAAAGACTCCAGTACTCGTGTGTGTTGGTCTCTCTCTGTCCTCTCATTTCTAATTCAGGTTGGACGCTTCCCCTAGCCCTGGCCATCCGTGTCCGCACCGCTCAGCCTGCAGCTCTGCAACGACGACTCCAACAACACACTGCTGTACGCAAGCGTCCAGCTGATGCCTCTACCTGACAGGCATCAGAATTCCGGGTATTTCCCCACAGCCTGTCCCACTCCAAGTACTGCCCATCGTTACGTCCATGTACTTGGCTTTTGGAAAGAGCAAGTAACAGCCTGAAGCTGGGTGCTTGTAATTCCAGCACTCAGGAGGCTGAGGCAGGAGGATTGCTGTGAGTTCCAGGCCAGCCTGATATACATAAGCAGGTTCAAGGCTGGCCTGAACTACACAGCAAGACCCTGTCTCAAAGGAAAAAAAAAAGAAGTAACAGCCTAGTGCCCCTACATGACTCCTCTTTCACTCCACAAAGCCAGTCCACTGCTGGTGCCAACACTGTCTTCAAAACAGTATCCCAGACCCATCCATTCCAACTCCACACTGCCCCTGACACAAGCCCCCAGCATCTCTTTACCAGGTGAGCCTCCTCACCAGCTGCTCTGCCTCTACACTAACCTTTGGTCGACCCACACAGTGCTGTCCCACACAGTACAAGCCACACCCTGCTAGCGGGCCACCTGCTCAGCAGCCAATCTGTTTTTTTTTTTTTGTTTTACTGTTGTCTTTTTGAGACAGGGTCTCACTATGCAGTTCAGACTGGTCTTGAACTCACAATGATCCTCCTGGCTCAGCCTCTTGAGTGCTGGGATTACAGGCATGCGCCACCACACCTGGCCTCTGCAGCCAGTCTGGAAGCACCAAAACCTCTACGGAATAAATGTGAACTACGGTGTCAGATAACTTAGGTTTTCATACAATCATCTTAAGTGTTCAGAAAGTTTGTTAACAGGGCTGTCCAGTTCATTAAACACTGCCATCGCAGGTCACAGCTAACTCCCCTCAAAAACAAACTAGCAAGCCGGGTGTGGCCTGAAATCCCAGCACTCAGGAGGCTGAGGCAGGATGATCGTTGTGAGTTTGAGACTAGCCTGGGCTACAAAGTGAGCTTAAGGCCAGCCTGAACTTCATAGTGAGACCCTGTCTCAAAAAGACACACACACACACACACACAAAAGTGACTTCAGTAGCTAAAAATGTTGGCTGTAAAGATATTTTATTATCGGCATAATGGCCTCCCACAACTTGGAGACCACACTAGTAATCAGTGGAAATCTTCAGGCTTCAGAAATAAGAGCAGCACAGAAGAAAGGCAGTGGGATCGCCAGCCTGGGGAGAGAGTGGTGTCCTCCGGAGAAAAGCAAGGGCTAATCTGAAGGGCTGCACTTGCTGCACATTTGGACAGGCCACCATCAAATAGAGCAAATGCTCTCTTTTTCCCCTTCAGAACCTTCAGTCAATTCTCTATTGCTCATCAACACTGCTGCTACTGGGTGGGCAGAATTCTGTTTCTACAAACCTCAAAACCAGTAGCTGGCGTTACAAAAATGCTGTACCACTCTTATTTCCAGGAAATCAGTTTCTCTCTATTTTCACTAAACAACTATGGAGCAAAGCTTTTCACACATACATTGGATTGAAGAGGCACCAAATAATTATTGCTGGCTCAGGTGCTCACATGATCTCAACCCAACCTTGCCCTGGTTTGAAATGTTTCCTTTCCCTTTTCCCTACTTCTCAACTGTTCATGCAAGGCTTGTACTTTCATCAGCCATTTCAAACCCTTTTGGAAACCAAGCAGGTGGTAAACAGAAATAATGTCACGCATGGTGACAGCGGGCCAGCCACAAAACTGATGTAGCTCTCTGCTATACATCATTTCCTCAACACATAAATAGCTCTCCCCTCCCCTACAGCGGAAAACCAGCTCCTTGCAGATCACAGTATTTTTACCACCTCAAGCAGAAAAACAGTCTCACAGCTTCTCTCCATTATTTTTATCTCGGAAGTAAGCACTTGGGTGTTGGTAATTTCTAAGGGTATTTCTTTTGTGAAGACGTTAAAAACCAAGAGTGAAAAATCATTCCCTCCTATGCATCCCAACAACTCTCGCTTCCTCCCTTAGATCACAGCTGCTGCTAAAGATAAATCCTCACACCAAATACTATATCAAACTCCTGAGCATCTCTTCCCAAAGAAAAGCTGACTAAGGCTGTGCTATTTATTGCAGGGCATAGTAGAGACCCTGTGATTTGGAAGGAAGAAGAACAAGACTGCATTTACAACTTACCAAATCAGTGAGTCCAGCTAAAGCAAAAACTCCTAGTGCAACATTAAAATCTTCTTCAATAATCAAATAGCCCAAAACTGGGGCCAAGCCAATCCTTGTCATTGACAACATATTTGGAATTGTCCATGGATTTTCATACTGAAATACAAAGACAACAAAATTTGAATGAAATACCGTAAACTCGTATTAAGCCTTTGGTACAGACTTCATTAAAATTCAGCACTTTTAACATTCTTTTAAAAATGAAACTTCTGCTGGGTGTGGTGGCGCATGCCTGTAATCTCAGCACTTGGGAGGCTGAGGCAGGAAGATAGCTGCAAGTCTGAGTCCAGTTTTTTTTTTTTGTTGCTTTGTTGTTGTTTTTGTTTTTCATTTTTCTTCCCGTACCAGGAATCGAACTCATGACCTTGTGCTTGCCAGGCAGGCGCTTTACCGGTGAGCTAAATCCCCAGCCCCATTGAGGCCAGTTTGGACTACATAGTGAGATCAAGGTCAGTCTGAACTATATAGTGAGTGCCTATCTCAAAACAAACACAAGCAAATGAAACTTCTGAACAATCTTAAGTAGACAGAAATCTAGAAAATGTAGGAAAAAAGCACCAAATTACCAACCTCCCTTTAGCTTGAAACATTTCTTGCCAACAACCTCTCTCCCTTCTCTATACATACCCATCCAAAGGATGCTCAGTGCCATACAGAGTCTATGAAGTTAAGAATGAGAAGGAAAAACTGATTTCATTGTATGACCTCATGGCTAAGTCAGAATTACTGGAAGAAAATGAAGATGGGAATAGAAACTAATGTGTTTGAAAATAAAGCTAAATTGAGTACATCTGTTCAAAACAGCCATGGAAATGTCAAAGACAGCCAACTAGAGACTTCCACAGCTGCCACACAGGGGCTTTGATTCCTTGAAACTTCATCTAGAGCTGAGCTGGAGGCTGGAACTCACAGAAGGGCTCTCTGACAGCTGAGGAACCACATCTGATTCTGACAGGGTGATTTCAACTTTAGCAAGCCTCACCCTAGCGGAGCTACAACCTGCACAGCACCCACAGAGAAAGCAGCAAGTAAATGTCTCTCCACTAAACTTGGATTTTTTCCCCTCCATGGCCAATTCCACCCCAAGGGGCTCTCTCTTCAAAGAACTAACCCTACTTAACCTCTTTTAAAATTAGTAACCGACTTGCCTGAACCTTAAATTAGTAACCTTTTAGGAAAAGAAGTGGCAGAGTTCATTTCTGAAGACACTTTTTAAAATTCCATGAGGCATCCTGTAAGAAAAAGTATTCCCTAAAAATACCAAGCGTGTGTTTATAAACAGAACTTAGAAAGACGGCACTTGAGTTCAGAGGTATAATGCCATGGCTGCTGCTGGACGGGGCGGACACGGCCTCCCTAAGGTACTTCAAACTCTCCCTTCCAAAGAAGCAATACAAACCTCTACCGTGGGATCTTTTACTGAAAATAGAGCCACTAAATATAAACATACGAAAACGGTCTCAGAATGTATTTCCAATTCAAGTTCAAAGGATCAGAGTGTCTCAGAGTCCAGAGGGGGAAAAAAAGATTAATCTGTTGACTACAAGTAGTACAAAGAAAGTCAAATACTGTACTGACCCGCTGTTCGCAACTCACAGGAGCGGCAGAGGAAGGGAAAAGCAGTTGAGATAACAAAGCGAAACATCAGACCGTACAGCCCCAGAGTTAATCCCAGAACTATCTATGGAGCCAAAATTAAAACCAAGGTTGCCAACAGCCACAATGTTACATCTGAATAAATAGAACAGAGCGTTGTTGAACAGTGACAGTTCCCTTGAGCTCCGTAAAAACATTTCAGTTAAAGTATCTCACCATTTTTAATGATTAAATTTGTCAAAGTTTCAAGGTTAACATTAGGAGAGCTAAGGCAGATTACCCAACCAGATAACCTGTGGCATACTCGACCAACTCCTGCGGCTCCGGGAAGGACTTCGGCCGGAATGGCGCAACTTCAAAGCACCCAGCAACCAATCCCCAACATGCTTTAGCTACTAGTGGAGCCGAGACCCCTGCCAGGATGAGGCCCCTCAACCCATGCTGTACGCCTGCGGCGGGCAGGACGGGGCCGCTGCAGACCTAACAATTGAAGATGTAACAATTGCTTGGTCTTCTACCATGACATCAAAAGCTGTCCGGACACGGACGCGCCGGGGTCTTCCGCCGGGGAAGGGTTTCTACAGGTACGTGGAAGAATATAGCACTTCCGTTAACCAAGAGTGGCTTTTTTTTCTTTCTATAACTGGGAACTGAGGGGCCGTTCGCCACCTAAACTAAGTAACTGTCCTTCGTCCTCATGCATAAGGTCACCACAGGTCACAGCGTGGGGATCCAGACCCGCACAAGCGAACACAAGGACCAGGCCCCTTTTTTGTGCCTATACACAGGGATTCGCTTCGGAAACTTAGACTTTTTTTAAAAAAAATTTTTGGTACCGGGATTCGAACTCAGGACCTTGTGCTTGCCAGGCGGGCACTTGTACCACTGAGCTGTATCTCCGGCCCTAGGCAGATTTAATACGGCGAGCGGAACCACGTTACCGCGGCGGCGCGCGGAGGAAAGGCGCGGGCCGCCTAACGGCGCCGGGCGCGCCGCCCTCTGTACCTACCGTGCTGGCGGCGCTCGCCGGGCCCCACC